ATCTCGTTCTCCTCAAGTGCCGTGTTAATATGTGTGTATTGTATGTATACAATATATATATATATATATATATTTATATGTATGTGTATATGTATATATAAATATACATATACATATAGCATAATATGAAATATTGAATCTGATAGAGATCTTAAAAATATTTTGCTAATCTTTTACGTTACGATTAAACCTTACAAGCTAAGTACTTTCTTACAACCTTGTATCGTGTTCAGCAGATTTTCAACAATCGCCTCTTTTGTTTTTCCTTTTTGTTTTGCTTCTGTTTTATCACCATATCGTTATCTACGCGAGCTAACGTTTGTTGCGTACGATTCCCCTTTTCTCGTCTTGCCTCGTTTCGGATCTAATCCTGCGATCTTGCACGTACGCCCACATCTCCTCGCGTATTTCTCTCTAGATGACATTCAACGGTTAATTCATCTTATGAACGTTAACATACTGATGACGAACGTCGTTGTGACCATCGACAGTAACGGCACGGCCATGTGTGCGCTGTTGACGTTTATCTTCCAGCCCAAGTTATTGTGCGTGTAACACTGCGGAGAACAAATTGAACGATGTTGTTTATTCGGGACATACTAGCAGACTGCAGATTTTTAAAATACGTCAAATATCCAAAGTGTAATACTCTTCGTACAGCCTCTGGTCATTGAATTAGAATTTTCAATAATTGACTAGCTGAAGGCTTTGAACGTAGTTTGGTAATAAATTTTCTTAATTGTTCACAAGTCTACTTTGTACTTTCTTTTATTCCAAGTTCAACCTTCTCATCATTGGTGTCATTTCTTGCCAACAATATTTTCACGAATCGTACCTGGTAGTAAACCAAATCTGGAGTGTCCTCGGCCACGGTCCAAATAAGTTTAGCCGGCTCACCCTGGTTACACTCCAGCCTAAGGGTTTCAAAGAAGTTCTCGAATGTTTCCATATCCGCGCTCATGTCTATCGTCTTGTGAACCCATTCGCAGTAGCGACCAGCCGCCGTGGGATAAAAATATCCAGCCGCGTCGCGGTCTACTCCGGCAAACACCGTTTGTGCCATTTGCTCTTCCTCGGTCTTCTGGCCGAATCCACCCTCTGGACTGTCGGTGATATAAAACGGGTGATACCTGCACGAAGAGGATCCCATTTATATAATTTTTCTGTTCCACGTGAAGCGAAAGCTTCGACATTCCAGCACGGGGGTAAATTTAAAGGGGAGTAATTTGTTAAAATACCGACTCGATAATACGTTTTGATTCATACGTTGAAAATTCCGCGGATAATTGTAATCGAACGACAATAAAACGAGGTATGTCGGTGCTGTGAATTTCGGGTAATTAACGAACGTGGAATTGGCAGTGGAATGAAGGAAACTGAATGCACACTGGAGTGTTAATAGTTTGAAATTTCAACTCGCCTGGCTGAATTAGACGGATCGTTCCCTCCTTCGACTATGAACGTGTATGTCTGTCCCCTCTCCACCGTGATTTCTGGGATCAGCAAGTCGTTGATGTACCAAGCGATTCCCCAAGCAGGTTGTCCTACGTTATTATAATCCTCGATTATTACTACGTTTAATCAGCGATGTAAAGTTTGAAGCACCTCTTCTTTTTCTCGTTATTTTGGAAAAAGTATGGATAACGCAATTACAAGTTTCGTTTCAAAGTAGATGATTATACTTTCAGAACACTTGACGCGTTCTAAACTTTCGAGCGAGAAGAAAGTGTGTGTAAAATGCTCTAGAATAAGAAGTTTCGTAAGAATAGTGAATCGAAATCCTCGTTTTGAGAAAAATGGTTCTCAATGTTCTTTGAGTACAAATAAATTTAGAGTCTGGAATAGATACCCGTGATACTCGTGTATCCTCTTTCGCCACCGGCGGGTCCGATCCTCGCGCTGAACGTAGTTTCGTTGGTGATTATCGCTGGCGGCCAGGGTTTGATGTCAGACATGTCCGGCAGGTTGTACAGGGAATTTGTACACTCGTGCACGTTCCTCGACGTAAAATCAATACGAATGTCCTCGGTCGTCTTGTCGAAGCTCTGATGGGCATTGGCTTCTCCTCGGAGATTCAGAGGACCTATCGCTGCGATCACGCTCGTCTCTGTGTTCGGGATCATTCTGTCCTTCACCGGCTCGTTCGTGCTCATAGGTCTCATATAGGTAACTGAAACGTTTATCAAATGACAAATTTCGTCGGTTCAGGTTTCTCTGCATTTGTGAAAAACCGAAGTATCGAACGTACAAGAAGCACGTGAAAACGTGAAAATAGATGCTCTTGTTCGTGCTCATAGGTAACTGAAACGTTTACCAAGATCGTTTGTCATCTTTGAAAAAGATCATTTCGCGGGATGACAAATTTCCCTTTGTCGGAAACCGAAGTATGAAAGCACGAACACGTGAAAATACGTTTGTTCTTGTTCGAAGAAACGACTGCGTGAATTCTCACCTGTGGTGACGCCGTTCTTTCGTTCGCCGTGCACAAGAACGGCATCGTTCTTCCCTCCGACCCTTTCGTCCGGACACACGCCCTTTCTACCGTCGCACTGCGCGTAACCCGACATGTAGTAGTCCTCCGCGATGAATTTGCCGGTCCTGTTGTTGTAAGCGACCACGACCACGTCGCCGCCGATCATCTCGGACTTGCCCTCGCTGCCGGACAAGCCGAACGCAACGTACTGGTCCTCCCTGATTCGGCCGGACACTCTGATCTGTATATCGTCGCCGATCATCTCCCACTGGACTTGCACGCGGCCTTCAAGCATCTCCTTGCAGTTGGTCAGCTCGAGCTTCGACAACGGCGGCGTGTCCCTGTCCGGTGGTGACGGCGTGCTGCTCGTCTGTAAAAGACATCGCGGTCGTTCGCCCTTCACATTGCGGGTAACACGCGCGTACGCAAAACGTGATGATCGTTTACTGAGACATGGATGTCGTCTGTTTGATATAGACTCTACGTTACTTACAGGATCGTACCACCAAGGCGGCTATCCCGATAAAAATACATTTCGTTAATGAAATGTCAGGCTCAATTCAGAAAGATTTCGATTAGAAATTCTCTTTAACTGAGGCGCATGAGATACTAAAGAAATGAGGTTCGCGAGTTCGTTCATGGGCAATCCATCTCGAGTTACCGCGATTTTCGTTTGTCCGAGAGCCGGCGGCACGTCCAGGTCCTTCGGGATCATAACGTGCCCGAAATTCTGCTTGTGCTGGACACACCAGACCGACAGCCAGTCGATGTCGTGCACGGTCAAGTTCCCGGGCAGGACGATCTCGATGTCTTCCCCTTGGTAACCTTTCAACGGCGCCAAGCTGTAAAGTTCATAATTTCTTTCGTTCTTTCTTCCGCCAACTGGTTTCTCCAACTCGTGAAGGAAAAAACGTCCAACTAGGAATCTTTGAACTAGAGGCAGGTGAATGTATAATATATATATATATATATATATATATATA